GTGTGTGGAGCCGTGTGTGGAGCGGTGTGTGGAGCCGTGTGTGGATACATGTGTGGAGCTGTGTGTGGAGCCGTGTGTGGAGCGGTGTGTGGCGCCGTGTGTGTGTGGAGCCGTGTGTGGATACGTGTGTGGCGCTGGCAGCCCAGAACCCATAGGGTTGGACTGGACTGTTGAGGTTGTCGAGTTCAGCCCGTGACCGGGCACCACCGGGCCAACCAGACCATGGCACTGAGTGCCTCATCTAGTCTTTTGTTAAACAGCTCCAGGGGCAGTGGCGTCACCACCTCCATGGCAGCCCATTCCAGCTCATCACCCTTTSTGTTAAATTGCTTCCAGTGTCCAAACTGAGCCTCCCTGGCTGTGTTCTCTCGTCCTGTCCCTCGCAGCAAAGGCTTGAGGGAGYGTTGACCCGCTTGCCCTGGGGAAGAGGACACCTTGGAGCCGGCTTTCCTCAGGCCCGGTTCCTCAGGCCTGGGTGCCTGAGCCTCCCGCCGTCCGCAGCCCACATCGCTCTGTAAACTGAAATGACTCTGRGCCACCACAGTCTGCAACGTCTGGTTCTAATAAAGGAATTAAACTCTGCTAAAATACGATCTGTTACGGCCTTTGTTTGTGAACGGAAGGGAGCTAAAAGTGGCATACCGACACCACAAGAATGCCACAGTAACTCTGTGTTTGTCTTAGAGATGCTTGGAAAAGCTGACGGTATTTCTCTTCAGTGGACAGATGAAGCTCACTATTTATTCTTAAAACTTTCTTCTCTCATTACTTTTTTTAACTTGATTATTTGCAGTAGTTGGGACATTGGTTGGTTTTTCCTGTTTTTTCCTCCTAACTAGGAGTGGGACAGAAAATTATGGGTCAGATTGGGACAGGAGACATGTTACATGCATCCCAAATAATCAGCTTTCATTCCTGAACTTCAGCTGAGCTTTCTGCTGAAGTAATGTTCACTGCTGAAGTGGTGGAATCTTTGGAATTTAGAGGAACTTTTGGAGTAAATGACAAAGATATAAACCCAGAGTCTGCGTTGATGTTTTCAAAGAATATAGAMTATAAAACCATTGTTTTCTTTAAGAGGAAGTAAAATAGAAGTTACTACTACTGTTAATTCATAGATAAGCAAAAATTATATTTTACAATTCAAAAGGTATGTTAAAAAAGACAGATTTAAATGTTATATTGCAACTAAGTTTAGCATCAAGTATTTAAAATTTGGATGTTTTAATTTCRAATACACTCTCTTCACCAGATGGGTGAAGGGACAAGGCTTTAGGTGAGATGGCTGACTATTTAGGAAGGAACCACTCTTCCTCATCCCATATACTGCAGTCTCCAAGGGTATCTAAAAGCCTGTTTTGCTCTTGATTRATAAAGGACACTGACCAGATGTATCCAAGAAAAATATACTGAATCTCTTCCCTTGTAATCACAGCCAGGCATGTCAAACTTACAGAAGTTGTTAAGGAAAATCACCATGTGCTCTTCTTAGGTATTTTGCTGCWGTGTCTCCTCTTTCAAAACTTATTCCCTTTGCTGATTAGAAATATTCTTTTCATTTCATTTTTCAATGTATTCATGGTCAATTTATACCTGCTTGTCACTATGCCAGCATTGTCTTTTAGTTTAATTAGCTTTTTGTCTTCTTCAGTGTTGGCTGTCTAAAATATTGATGGAGAACAGTCATATCACCTCTCAGTTCTCATTGACAGACTAAACAAGCTCTTCTCACACAGGCAGATTTCCATTTCCCTGATCATCTTAACAGCCCTCTCTTGCATTTCTTCCAGTTTTGCATTTGTCTCAGGGATACGTGACCATTCTGAACCCATTTATTCATACAAGGGACTGTATTAACCACGCCAGGTTTTTCATCATGTTGTCAAATCAGAATATCCTGCCTTGCAGCCATATGATACTGTGAGGAACTTTTGCATGGGATATTAAAAGCCCTCAAGCAGTTCAACATAGAAACTGAATATAAATGATGAAGAAAGTGGATGTTTAAGGAACCRTTTTTATCTTCCCTAYTTCATTCAAGGGTTGATACCGACTGTAGCATAAGARATGTCAGGAACCAGTGCTATCTTTTTCCTATGTTAAAAATCCCTCAACTACCAAYGTTTCCATTACAGTATGATTTTATTTGCTTGCATATATTCTAGCATCATTCATCTTGAGGTAGGAGGTGCAAGAGCTTGGATAAAATGAGCCAATAGGCAGTCCYATTGAAGGTATTGGCATCTTTTGGCTGTTAGCTTTGTCATAAGCTTTTGGTAACAGTATATTATGCAGCCACGGGTTTCTTGGTCTGAAAAAGCAAACTGAAAAAACTTCAAAACTTGATGGTTCAAAAAGGATCTGTTTTCCTTCTTCACTGAGATAAACTGCAATATTCAAATGATCCTAAATCGATAAACCCAGAGCATCTTTATAGTCGTTAAATGGATGCTTAAAAAGAGCCTGGATTAGGAAGTTTACCCTGCCTAAAATGTTCAGAACAAATGCTAAAATGAATGTCTCAGCCTTAAATCTCAGAAATTGAAACAAAAAACAAAAAAAAACCCACAAAAAACAAAAAAACAGGAGGGTCATTGTGGTGTGTTAGTTTGAAGCTCAGTAGTGCAGTTCATCTTATTGAAACTAGTCCAAAGGAAGGGATGGAACACATACTCTGTTTCTGAAACTTAGAAATGAGACAGTGTAAACTAAATGTACTCACTCAGAAATGAGATTGCATAGACATTATTTATTGGGGGGCTCGGTATCTCTTATCTGCTAAGTGCCCACACTTCCTCAGTACTCTTCACCAGAAAACACAAGCCAAATGYGATCACAGGGATCACGCATAGTGTCATATCCATAGTTACAGTGTCTCTCTGTGACTGACTTAATGCCTGAAGAAAAGAGGCCAGCTTCTTCATGCCTGCTTCAGATGAAAATTCTTTGTTTAGAATTTTTTGTTTTGTTTTCTTTTTCAGCTTAGGTAACAAGAGTGGGCTATGTGCCCCATGTAAAACTCCACGTACAGGAATGGACAGTTTTAGCTATTGAGATGTTGCTTATTTTATGACTTATGCCTTTAGCTTATTTTAAAACAGATTATGTCATACAACTACACTGCCAAATGATAACATAGAGCAACTCATAGTATAGATACATGCAGGAGAAAAAAGTCATTACTAATTGATATCTATGAATAAAAGCATRTTTCTTATATGATTTCTAAATATTTCTATAACAATATAAAATGCAGTTCACAGAGTGAAGTCTTCCATTATGCATCCTTCAAAATCAAAGTACTTCTAGAACTGCACAGCACTCCAAAGAGCATCAATTAAAATGAAGTTTGCATTATGTTTCAACGGCTATTTTGTGTAGTTCCTCAGACAAATTCCTTTTGGGCTAAAGTTGTTCATCTATAGATCAAAGATCATACCACACAACCACCACCACCCCTCATCCCCATTTAAAGCAAAATCAAAGCACCTTTGTTACAGGACGATGGAACTAACAGGGGGAGAGGGAGAAGGAGGGGGGAAGATACATTTCTGACCCAAGCTTCATTTTAATTAGGAAAACAAGTTAAAAGAAATAACTTCAAAGTTGGTCCACTTTCTAGTTCTCATGTGAAAGCCTAGAGTCCAGATGAATTTAACGAAAGCCCCTTGTTTCAAAGCAAGGATCCATCCAACTGGGAATTCAAAAGGTGCACAGGCACTTTCTGCCTGCTGTGGCTTTACATACCATTACAGCAGGGCAGTTGAGAATGGTGATGACATTTAAGACCGCTCTGGCTTCCTACTGCTGTATAGATAAAAGCTTATCTGGAAGATATGCTTTGACAAGGCTTAGTTTCATTGCCTTGATGCCCATTAGCTGAAAAAAAAAAAAAAAAAAAAGAAATCCTTTGGGAAACTAGACTTTTAAGTCAGTTTTATATAGTATTTCATGCTATTGTTGCAATTAGAAAAGAATACCTCATGTGTTCCCCGTGCATGTTGGGGAACATCTAACTAGTGGGCATTCCATGTGGCTGTTTCAGGCCTTTGCATACAATTTTCCCAAGGTCTGTTTAGTAGGTGCAGAAAATCCATCTAATTTTAACCTCTACTCTGTGGGATAACTTGGAACTAAATGAAAAATAT